TCGATTTATTTAGTTAAGTACCTTACTTCCCCCTCCGTTTCTTATGCTATTTTTCTTTCTTACTAAAAAAAAAAAAAAAAAAAAAACGTATTTTTTTATTTGGAAATAATATACCTTTAAACTTTACATTTCATTTTCTATGACAAGATTCTATGAACACACAATTCAAAATGTAATTGCAATTTAAGACCACTTATTGCAAACGCCTTTCTCTCTTACTTAAACTTCGTATTTATTCAAACAGATTCACATAAAAAAATGTAGGACGTATATAAAAAAGGAAAAAAAATATTATGTAGCAATGAATGGTGGAATGGCTTACATCCACTGTAGGGATTTTAAATTGCCAAGAGATGATGGAATATGGCCACTCAGCTGATTATTTTCCAGCCCCAAGCTCACTAGCTTTGTCAAGTTGCCTAATTGGCTTGGAATTTCTCCGCTAATTGAGTTATTGTGAACTTGCCTGTCCATGTATTAAACAAGAAAAGATTTACATCTGAAATTGCATTCTTGGTTTCATCAAAAAGCATAAAGACAAAATATTGATCTTACAAGTATTGAAGATTGCTTAGCATTCCTAATTGAGGTACCAGAATCCCAGAGAGGTTAGCAGCACCTAGGTCCCTTCATTGGATATCATCATTGTCAATCTCAACATGCTTAAGAAAATTATAACATCAATATGAGTAACTTTTCTGAATTTGTATATATGGTTTGAATCAAATTCAACGGAACTCGTTGCTCTTAAGTCAGTCTGTCTCTGTATTCATCTAATAAAGAGATTTTAGAAGGTCAAATGGTGACTTACACTCTTACAACGCTATTCTGGCCGTTGCAGGTGACATGAAACCATGTGCAAGGATTGACTAATGTCGGATCCCAGCTCTGAAGCACATTATTTGGATCGATCAGGTAAGTTTTCCATGCGTAAAGAGTGTCCCCTGCTCATTCATTTCAATTCAATATTATATATTAATTTAATCAAAAATCAAAAGGATTATTTTCCAATAAATATGTACGAAGGTAAAGAAAATTAAATGAAAGATGGTTTCTTTAATTAGACACTTAACCTTCAGAGTTGCATTCTGCAGATATAAAGGCAATTGCACCAATCAGGAAAACAAGAGCGACGGACCTCATCTGCCCTAAATTTTATCGTGGTTGCTGCCCTAATTCTTCATATTTAAGCGTGCTGCACTAGCTGTACATATTTATACATACTGGAACTGTATGTACAGTTTCATCACATAGAGGTTTTAATTATCTAAATAGCTACATAAAGACTGATTCAAGCAATGCGCATTAGCTATTTCTTTCTTTTATTAATAAATATTTGGTGGTTTGACCAGAAATTGTAAACAATACTCCAATATGTTGTTTACGATTACAAAATAATGTTTCGTAAGAACTGTCTTTTTTCTTTGGTTCAGAAATGGACGTTTACTAAGTCAATTATATTAGTGTTTGTAACAACTTAATTACTGCTATTAATTAATCCAATTATATCAACTTAAAGGTGAAGGTAGGAATTTTCATCCCGTGTAGCAACCGGCATTGGAATTTCTACATAGTGCCTTTTTTCAAATATATATACTTCTTGATAACGAGAAGAAGAAAGCCATACGTTAATGTTATAGATGAACTGCCTCTAGAAGATTTCTCAACTTGCTTAATATTTAATAAATCTTAATTTGAAATTATGCTGCACATGCCGGTGTTTTACTATACTATAATTGATCAAAAACCGTGGGAATGAATTTAAAGGACTAACATCGTTGTTTTACCAATTCTTTAGATCTTTTTATTCAACATTTTATCAATCTCATTTCACAATCAAAGAATTATCTTCAATACATTCAGTGATCCAAAATATAGTCCTACCGTACTCTTTTCCAATTCAACAAAGTTACTTTTCTCTGATATGAAGCCATTATGTTGAGATTTTGAAAAATTAGAGATAATACATGTGGTTAGCGGTAATTGATGTTCTGTTTGTAATCACTAACTGGACCACGTCCACAGCATTTCTGCAAGCTACTGATTCTTCTGTGTAAAGTATAATGTAAAGAAATATGGATATCGGGTATAATTCACTCACAAAAATTAGTTCATAAAATGTAGATGGTCTAATTTTATAGATGGAGACAAGACAACAACACATTACTTAATCAGTATGGGGCTAACAGATAACATGCTCATTTTTCAACCTAAAAATAGTTTTGTGGTCAAAGCAATTTAGACAAATATTTCGAATTACTAACAACCGATTTAATTCACTTTTTCAAATTTGAACGATAAGAAAAAGGAATAAATTGAAAGATAAAATGTATTAATAGAAATCTTATTGATGAAAGTAGATTTTCTTTTGTATGAATGCAATAATACTTTTCTCACAATGGAGAGCTCAAACTGAGCAATATATTTGAGAGAGACTATTTTGAGTATACAAGATATGAAAGGGTAGTTTAAATGGTATTTTCATTGGTAATTGTTTGCCTTGTTTAACTTATGTCCGTTACTGTTATTTATTGCACTAATTGTTCGTTACGTGATTGATTTGCAATAGTTGAAGTATTGATGGCAAATCCCGTGCAATCTAGGATTAACTGATTCTTTCCTTATTCGCAGCTATTAATGACCTCTATTTATCAGACATGTGGCCATGCTCTTGCGTTTAACTCCCAGGCTAATAGACATGGTAAATTTGTGTACGACCCCGAGGGTGTTACACATATCTTCTATACACGTCATTCTTTTTTGTCGTAATTGTTTACCCTTAAAATGGATAAAAATTGAATTTATATGCGCTTTTAAAGATATGTGGATTTATTCAATACAAATAATCAAGAATGTTAGATAAATGAGTTAAAGACACAATGAATAATCAAACCAGTCGTAACGTTATGGACTAACTTGAACTTGGACTGAGCAATAATTTCTGCCCTGGATTGGGTCCTAGGCTCGAAGCCAGACAAGAACAAAGAATAAAAATAAAGTCAAGACTTTGCAGTAGCTAGAAAGCAGATAAATAAGTTTGTATTGCCTTGATATGCGTGTTACAATGTGTCCGTTGAATAAAAAGCTTCCCCTTTGTATAGTAGGAGAGTTCATCCCTAGTACAATTCTTAAAAAGGTAAAAATCCTCCTTTCTCGTCAATTATCGATATATTACCGACAACGGGCGAGATCCGCGTCGTATATGCGCTAACCCCGAATTCACCCATATATAGATAGTCTCCCCGTTTCTCAGAGAGTAGGTTCGCCGAAATGATGGGAAATGATAGATGAACTCCAGTTCCTTCCTTCGTACGTTACAATTGAGATCACGAATAATCCAAAACGTCCCAGTAGTCGCGCCGTTCTGACTTCGGACACGTGTAGATCATCGGCTGGTCATCGCGAATTGATTACATTTCCTCCTATAAAAGCTTCAACCTTTTGTACTTCTTCTACTTTCTAATCCTAGCTTTTACCTTAGAATTCTCTAGTGACTTTCAACTCTTTCAAACCTTCTTATCTTCATCTTTGGCCAGATCGAGACCGAGGCTGGCAGAGGCATTTTGTTCCGGTGAAAACCGAAGACTTGGTACTTCTCGAGTTCCTGCCATTCCCCTAGAAATGGAACGTATCTCGTAAGTATAGTCTTTCCCTAAGTTTCAATTTCCCTTCATTTCTTCTCTCACCAGCAATATTTGTGGTCGTGCAGCTGTTGCTTGGGTTCCCAATGCACTCCCTCGGATCAAGGAGTGGACCGAAGGGATCTGCCAGCAGATGTCATACTACGAGCGCACGTGGCACAAATTTTTGAAGCACAGATGGGAGGCCCGTTCTCATGGTAATGCTTTCTCCTGGATAGTTATTACTATGCCCCAAGCTTACATGATTTTGATCTTCTCTTTTCCCTTGTTGGTTTGCCTAAGACCACCAAGCTTAGGCCGCTGGATGGTGACAAGGACCCGTCCTTACCCAACAAACCCTCTATCTTGGGACAACCCCGGGTTTCTGCGGAGGAGAATAAGAGGAAAAGAAAATCCTCGGGCTTAGAGGGGCCCAATATGAAGATAAAAAAGAGGGCAGCCAACCGGGCTTGCAAGCCCAAGAAGAGTACTGAGTCTCGGGTACCAGACTCTAAATTGCTTTACCGGCTCAGGGATAACCCTGAAGAAGATGACATTTCTGTTGCTCATGGATCGACCCCTGCCGGGGAACAGGTGGCGACCGAGGGAAGGGACCACGAGGTGATCCCCTTCCAACTCGAGAGGCAAAGATGGATATAGGGGTTGTAACCTCCCGAAAAGCCATTCCGATTCCGATCTCTCTTAGTTTTGTAATTTCTAGGAGTACTAATATTCTCCTCTTATTTTTTTATTTTATTTTTTAAGAAATGTTGTCTTAAATGAGGATTCCAAAAAGTAAATGAAAACTCTTTTCAAGTAAAAGCAAGAGAATTAAATTACGATTATATTATAATCAATTAAAAATTTAATCTCTTTTCTTATTTTAAAAGTACATAAAGTAACAAGAGATAAACACATTATATATGATTACGTAATTGGTAAAAATTGTTACCCTGTTTCTAACAATATATATAAGATTAAGTTGCTTCAATAATGTTAGGTTAATTAAGAGATGATGTTAGCAGGTAGAATCATAAAATCACTTGATATCTAATTAAATCTCAATACCAAATATACAAACTAATATCATTTAAATACTATAATTTAGTTTCAGCATTTTGACTAAATGTGAAAAAATAACATATGTAGGAGATAGAACGTCAAATAAAATGATTACATTTGTACACGTAACTTAATTTTTATCACGTCATTAGCTTTTATATAGGATCACAATTTTAATTATATTTACTTATAAATAAATAGATAAAATCAATAGTGAAAGATATTTTTTTACAAATTCATTAGTTTTTATAACTTTCAAAAAGATATAATTTACCTCTGCCCAGGTAAATTTCCAAGAATATAGCTTCATCTAGACATGCAACAATAAAATTTTAGATAATAAAATGATCTCAAGTAAATTTCCAAGAAACAATCCCTAGCTAAAATTACAACAACAAAATTCTCAAGTAATTCCCTATGTAATAAAACTTTCAAGTAAATCCCCAACAAACAACCTTCAGCCAAATTGCAGCAATAAAATTCCCTAGGTAATAAAATCTCTAGGTAAATTCCCAAGAAATTATCCCCAGCTAATATTGCAGCAACCAAATCCCAGGTAATTCCCTAGGTAATAACATCCCCAGGTAAATTCTCAAGAAATAATCCCCAACTAATATCGCAATAAAAAATCCCCAGGTAATTCCCAAAGAAACAATATCCCCAAGTAAATCCCAAGAAATAATCCCTAGCTAAATCCGCAAGTATTGTTACTTGGGAAATTTTCTACGAATTCAAAAATGAAATAAAATTTTCAAACTTTTTATTGCTTACCTGCGGAATTACCTACGAAAATAATACTTGAAAATTATTTTCCTAAATAAATCCCCAGGTAATATATTGGCGCTAAATGGCGCCAAATTTACTTGCAGATTTACCTGGAAAAATCGTGTTTGCAGGTAAATATTCCAAAACTTAGGAACTCTGAGATTTTTGCATGAAAATCCCTAGCAATTATCTGCGGATAAAAATCCCCATGTAATCCGAGTTTTTCTTGTAGATACCTCGCCTTGATGAATGCATGGTCGACCTTGGACTGGGGTCTCCTTTTTTGTTTAACCGGGTGGAAATTCAGGTCCAAACTCAACTTATGAGTGGTTACCTCCGGCAGGATCCCTGTCATGTCAAGATGGGACCAAGCGAAATAAGCTACGTTAGCTTTAAGAAAATTAATGAGTTTTTTCTTCAGCTCGGGGGTTAACCCTGTGCCTAGGTATACCTTTCGATCCGGCGGGTGTTCGATCAATGTTTCTTGCTCTAAATCTTCGACTATCGATTTGGTGGCGTCGGTATTATCAAGGGCTATGAATGATCTCGGAACTCCGTAATCGTCCTCCTCGTCGACTCCTCGTTCCTCCGGTTCGGCCAGGACCAGCGTCGGTGGTTGCTATTTAGCTTCGGCCTTTCTGGTTAGCTCCGTGTTCCTTAATGTTGAGACGATGGGCTCCGGGAATACTTCATCGAATGCGAACATCTCCTTAGCAGCCGGCTGTTCTCCGTATACCATACTGATTTCTCCTGGTGTAGGAAACTTTAACGCCTGGTGTAAGGCCAAAGGTACCACCCTCATGTTGTGAACCCATGGTCTTCCGAATAGAGCGTTATATTTCATGTACCCTTCGATCACATAGAACTTTGTTTCTTGGATGGTCCCGGCGGTATTCACTGGTAGGGTTATCTCCCTTTTAGTGGTTTTGCATGCCATGTTGAATCCGTTCAAACCCGGACTGCTGGCACTATTTGGTCATGTAGCCCCAACTACTCCACAACCCTCGATCTGATGATGTTGGCCGAGCTACCTGGATCAATCAACACACGTTTAACTCGAGATTTATTGATAAGTACAGATATTACCAGTGCATCATTACGAGGTTGTATGATGCCCTCGACATCCTCGTCGCCGAACGAAATGGTCCTTTTCGGGATATAATCTCGGGTGCATTTTTCCTTCGTGATAGATACTTTAGTGGGTTTTATCATTGGCCCTTGAGGGACGTCGACCCTTCCAATGATCATGTTGATGGCGTGCTAAGGTTCTTCTTGTTCGGTCTGTTTGTTGGCGTCCCTGTTTCTGAAGTGGTTTTTGGCTCGATCGCTTAGAAATTCTCGTTGGTGCCCGTTATTAAACAATCGGGCAACTTCTTCTCTTAATTGTCGGCAATCCTCGGTCTTGTGGCCATGAGTGTCATGATACTTACACATCAAGTAAGGATCTCGCTGAATAAGGTCGGACTGCAATGGTCGAGGCCACTTGGTCTCCTAGATTCGCCGATGGCCGATATGATACTGGCAGCATCGACGTTGAAGTTATATTCTGACAATCTCGGTGCCTCCCTAGCCCCGAGCGGCCTGTTGAAACTATTTTTGCTCATCAAACCTCGGCTATTGGGCCCTCGATCGCTTCTCTTTTCGTTCCTCGTGGGGTGATGCTCAGACTCGTTTCCTCTTCGATCTTCATTTGTATGGTTGATACCGATCTCGGATCGATCTAGGTTCATGATCGACGATCCTCTTAGACCTGTCGTCGGTTCTAATGGGATAGACGGAACCAGAAAGGGCTCCGATTTGGTCGTCCTCGACTCTGATTTTTGACTGGTATCTATTGTGGATGTCGGCCCAGGCTACCGCAGGATACTCTACCAAATTTTGTTTCAGTTGATGCGAAGCCAAGGAGCTTCGGGGGTTAAGTCTAAAGTGAATGCCTGAACAGCCCAATCATCCGCAACCGGTGGCAAGTCCATCCGGTCTATTTGAAACCTTGACACAAACTCCCCAAGCATCTCGTTTTCTCTTCGCTTAACCTTGAAAAGGTTCGATTTTCTGGTCTCGACCTTGACGGCCTTGGAATGTGCCTTCATAAAAGCATCTGCAAGCATAGCAAACTAATCAATAGAATTTGGGGGTAAGTTGTGATACCATATCATTACTTCCTTTGACAGGGTTTCCCCGAACTTCTTTAGCAAAACTGACTCGATTTCGTCATCTTCCAAGTCGTTTCCCTTGATGGCGCATGTATAGGAGGTCACATGCTCGTTTGGATCTGTGGTTCCGTTGTACTTTGGAATATCGGGCATACGAAACCTCTTTAGGATCGGCTTTGGTGCAGCTCTCGGAGGGAAAGGCTTTTGGATAAACTACTTAGAATCCGGTCCTTTTAATATCGGGGGTGCTCCCGGATTTGATTGACCCTGGAGTTATGTGTTTCCACCTTTTTTGTCGTTAGCCTCAATTTTCTTCTCGCTTGATTCCACCCGCCTCGTTAGTGCTTCAACCATTTTCATTATCTTGGGGTTGGCCCCGGGCTCAGCTTCACCTGACCTCTCGGTGGTTTGCTCGTTTCTTCGGGTGTTCTCCCGAGATCATTCGTGCTCGACCCTACCAAGGGGTGGCCTTGACTCTGTAGCTGTGCTATTGCTGCCTATTGAGCCTGCAACATTTCGAAGATTAGCAGCATGCTTATCCCATCACCTTCGCCTTCAGGAGTTTCTCGAACTGTTGGTCGAGGGCCTCCACGAACGATGTTTTCGGGATCAGTCAGCAGGTGGGCATCGATAGCAATCTGTGAATTGGCGTCGATTGGATCGGCAACTGGGACTCCGTTGGGATCAACAGGGGGCACCTCATTGCTAGGCACCAGGTTGTTGTTTTCGCCATGATGGCCAGACTTAGCCTCAAGGTTCAATGAGCAGACTGAGAATTTGATATTTTTAAGCTGACCTGAAATTGAAACCTTAAAGAACAAGTGTAAAATAAAGTGGGTTATGAAAATTTGTATCATACCACCACTATTATTCTCAGCCCAACGGTGGGCGCCAAACTGTTTACCCATAAAATGGATAACAATTAAATTTATATGCGGTTTTAAAGATATGTGGATTGATTCAACACAAATAATCAAGAATGTTAGATAAATGAGTTGAAGACACAATAAATAATCAAACCACTCGTAACGTTATGGCCTAGCTTGAACTTAGACTGAGCAGTAATTTCTGCCCTCGATTGCGTCCTAGGCTCGAAGCCAGACAAGAACAAAGAATAAAAATAAAGTCAAGAGTTTGCAGTAGCCAGAAAGTAGAGAAATAAGTTTGTATTGCCTTGATATGCGTGTTACGATATGTCCATTGAATAAAAAGCTTCCCCTTTATATAGTAAGAGAGTTTCATCCCTAGTACAATTTTAAAAAAGGTAAAAATCCTTATTTCTCGTCAATTATCGATACACTACCGACATCGGGCGAGATCCGCGCCGTGATATCCGGTTGGGTGCGGATATCATGGCCCTCTGTTAGTCGTGTGCAACCGTTTGTAGTGCTTTTCGTGGTCTTGGAGCTCGTTCGGGGAGCGTTATCTTGTCGGGCCCGGTGGCGAGTACCATGTTCCAGCCTTGATCCAAAGAGTTCCCAACTTCGGTCTCGATCTCATACATTCATACTCTTTCATAGTTTGACCTACTGGGAAGTCGGTGTGTGCGCTAGCTAACCCCGACTTCACCCGTATACAGTAATAACTCCATCGACGCCTCTATCGATGCCTGTCATCACAGAATAGGTCCACGTGGCAAGTCTGTTTTCCACTGATACATTCATATATTTAAACTTGATCTTTATACATATAGTTTATTTAGGGGGAAAAACAAAAAAAAAGTATTTACACATCAAGTATTGGATTCCAAATTTGACGACTCACATACAAAAGGGTGTAACAAAGCAGCATATATATGAGAAACAGTACAGTTGCATCAATTACCAAAAATTGGTGGTAGCATTTGGAACCAAAGAAACTACTCAATAAAACTCACACAACATTACGATTTCTGTACAAAACGTTACTTCGCATTGGCCAGCCTACTTCTTGGTAATCCTTTGAATCCTCCATTGGTACAGGCTTCATAACACAGCACCCATTTCTTGAACATGAACTCATCACATTGTTCACCCTTTCTCTTCTCTTCTCCATCTCGTATCTTTCAGCTCTTCTCCTCAAGTTTTGTTTTTTAACCATTGCACTAAATCTTTCGTTACTATACTTATAGCAGTTTACTGGAATTGGCAGCGCCTCTAATCCCATTAGCTTAGCCACTACACCTGGTTTACACCAAATCACCTTTTCTCCTGCTATCGTTGGTGGCAGGCTATTTTGAACTGATTTTCTTGGAGCAGTAAATGTGTTTTGTATAGGAGATGTGTCGCGAAAGGAAGAACGATACATGGCATCTTTGCCATCCAGAGAAAAACGGGGATATTGGTTTAATGCATTTCTTGCTGTTCGTAAAATATCAGAACTGTTTACACACGACATTCTATGATTGACTTGCCCATAATCCTTCAACTTTGCCCTACTAATTGCCATCTTCTCTTCCAAGTCTAACTTCAGCAACATTTCCTCCAAGGTCGTCTGGCTTTTTCCGCTTTCTTTTTGCCTATGATTAACAGGACTAGTTGTTTGCATTGTGTAGGGAGAGGAGACGAGATGTTCAATTGACGATGTTGTATTTGTTTGCTGGTTGAGAGTGGAAGTAGAGTAATCATCATTGCAGAAGTTCTTAAAGCCTTTCTTCATCTTAGCTGCCATGCCATTCTTCAAGAAAAAGAAAGACAAGTCCTTCATAGTATATAGGATCTTGTTTAATGATCAAACAAAGAACCCAAAACAAAACGGGGAAAATTGGAGTTTTTTCAGTTTCAAGATTAATTCAAGTAGTGGAGATCACATTGAACATAAAGGAAAGGAAAGGCGTGAATGAAGTAAATTTTGAACGGTGTGATGTTCTTTACTTGAGCCTTTAAAGCATTCACATGATAAGAGAGGTTCACAAGTTTTTCCCCGCCAAACCCTTTAGATATCACCAAAAAGTTGCTTATTAATGACTAGTACACAACTGGCGTATTGGCTAATTGTCTTAATTAACATTCACCTTCATTTGTTAATTGATTGGTTTTATGAATAAATTCCAGATTTTGATATCAGTAAGCACTGCCCAGCTGCAAATATGATTATCTTTTGATTCTTGAATTTAATGATAACGCATAGCTGCAGTAGTTCTTTCTAAAATATATTCCATCATCATTTGATGAGAGACACAAAAAAGCAACTTGAGGCTAACTTAAATCCAAAAGCTAGCTCGTGAGGACTCAAGACCGGAGACCCATTTGTTTACTCCCGCCCGATGTGGGACTCAACGGCAATCGACTCTAGTCTAGAGTATGACAACTTTAACAACCAGCACCAGAAAAGGAGTCATGTTTAGTGAACTGATATTCCTCCATTATTAATCAATTGCCATAATTCTATAATTCTAAAGTCTGGTTGGCACAGTACTACAGAAGCATTCTACAAATGATCATCTTCTAGTTACTGATGTATAAGATAAGACAAACGACAAACTGCATTTTAGGTCATCCATCCTCTCGAGCAAACAAGAAATGCATACATATACACAAACACAACGAAAACAAAGAGTTATATGAGAAAGTCCAGGATTGTGCTTTCATGCAGGTAAGGCAAAACTTGGCTGTTCCCAGTTTGGAGGGTCCACCACTGCACAAATATCGGATTTCTCATAATCGGCAACCTACAAAACGGAGGAAACTTACTTAAGTAACCATCGAATTCAAAATTGATAAAAGTTCCATAAACTAGGCGAGGAATAGAGTTGGATTAGTAAAAGACGGTTACCTTCTGATTACAGCTTGGACAATAATGATACTTATGCCAGAGGCAATCCATTGATGGACAGAGAAAGCATACTCCAAGCATAAATGGCATCATGCAGCCAACAAAAGCTGCAGGACTAGGTTTTGATCTAAATGGAACACGAATTGGAGGAATCAGAAATTCATCAGAAATAGATTACCAACAAACAAGTAGCTGACATATATTCAAAATAAGGCCATAGTACAGAACATGCATACTTTGGATGGACCTCTACAGGAGAAGTTTGAAGCAAAGTTGTAATAAACATTATGCGACGAAGGCAAATTACGAACATAGTTTGGATCTAGAAGGCGCATATTCAAAAAACTGACTTAGGCGATATTGCCTCAAACATTCTCAAAAAAGAAAAGTAGGAAATTGCATCATACAATATTCACATGCTGCACAAGTGCTAACAAAATCAACATTAGATTTCTAAGTATCCTTTGTGTCCTTGAGCCAAAAAACCAAACAGGAAATGCTCCTTTCTTGGGTAACTGATATCACCTACTCTCCTCAATGAGAGGCACGATCAATTTTCTAGGCCTGTCAAAATATTCTAGATTATAACATGTTATAGTCCTCAAAGATGGACTGAAGTTCTAATTAGTCTCTAAAAGTTCCTTCTTGTGTACTTAATCCTGTCTTTAACACTTGAATCAGAATTTGGTCCTCCACTAGGTCAGCTACTTTGTATGGACTTGTGTGAGAATCTTACGTACACGACAGAGATAGTAATTAATAACAGTTAAAGGCGCTCTCCCCCTATCCCTTTCAGACTTTCAGTGTCATTTCCTTTTCAAGTTTTACCGATGCCAACTAGGAAGCTAATCGACAAAATATTTTAGAATAGCACTAGTTATTAATACCCTAATTGATTGAAGCAGTATTTGACCTTGACTTATGTTGTATGCAAGGTTGCATGTTATTGATTAGCAACCACTGCACTATGGGGAAGGAATTTAGAACTTTGGAATATACTTAGGCTGCCATGTTTTCTGTGCAAGGATCATTGCATATGTTACGTTTTCTAGTAAAGAGATAAGATAGCCAAGGCCTATAAAGGAGGAAGATAGAGAGGCACCACAGTGAGCTCCTTTGAGCTCAACAATATCCCTTATTGCTGCATGTGATATGCAACTGCGATGCGAATTTAGCTGAATCACCTATGATCTAGAACACAATATGCATACACATGCAGAACACATATACACCGGTACATATGGGTGTACAAGTATGTAGGTGTGCGTATTAATTATCTTCCCGTGTCTGCTCCTTATATGACCATCTATCTCTGCTCCTTGTACATTAAACTTGGCCAGTTACACAGTCCACGAAATAAATCATGCTAAAGCATGTGTTGGTTTGTCGTATAGGTCCTTTTGTTTTGGGCTTCTAACTATAGGAGCTGGTGGACTCTAGCCACGCAATTTTTCTATATGGGGCTAGCCAGTGAGATAGGATAATTGAAGTCAGTTCTCTTTTCCCCCGACGGGCACTTCTCTTCTCTACTCTTAGAAGTGCTATTGTGGTAGACAACTAGCAGAGGAAAACATCATAATGTCTCTGTCTAGGGTGCAAATATCACAAGTCTAGGCAAGTATCGCAACAGCTCGTTTCTTTAGCATCTTTAAGACCACAAAAACCCTTTTATTTCGGGTAAGGGTAACGGCCATTAGCCAGTGAACAGATCTGGAGAAGAATGTTTGCAGGATGAAGCTTGATTAAGTACCTATCAAAAGGATCACTGATACACTTAACTCAAAAATAAACTAGAATGTATACCAAGTTCAGAAATGGGTTCTGATGCTCAAACTTCGAAAGCATGAAAACTATTAACTCAAATATTGGTATATCCCATTTCAAAGGGCTTGATAAATCCATATCACCAACAATATCTACATAAACATGGTCTAACTCGCAATAGTAAAACTAATGATTATCTGCAATACATAGTTACAAGGGAATGAAGATAGGCCATTTAGGTATACTAAAGCTTCACTCCTGTTACTTCTATTGATATCAATGAAAGTGGGTTAGGGACTGTGTTTGCCAAAATAAGATATAGAGCACAGTCATCAGCTTTTTAGTCAAGATCCAAAGATAAAGGGAAGGGAAGAAAGAATTTCACTCTGTTACAAACTACAATCCAGATTAAGATATCGAATGAAAAAGTGATTGTTAGCTTTACACCAAGATTTATCTACGGATAGAAAAAGTAACACTGTTTTTGCATGCCCCATGCCCCAATATGCATAAAACTACTGCACCCTGCCTTAGTTGAAGCTACCGGATATGTAGAGGTATGCTCTTACAAACTCTGTTCCAACTTCCTGATTTTTCCTCGTCCATCTAAACTGATGATGCAGTTAGCGGACAAGAGAGACAGAGACATGTTTATTTATTTATTCTTCTACAGGAAAAATGCCAAACTAGTCCATAAATACGCTGTACACTACTTTGGTGTTTCATTAATACAGGAACCTGATTCTCATCGGAAGTGCTAGAAATATATTAGGATATTAGACTTCCACAAAAGTCCACTCCAATATTTAGAGGATTTGTTGAATAAACGATACGTAATAACTATCACTACTACTACTTTCGTGAATCCCACCGGATGTTTTTAAAAGCCATGTGATTCTTTCATTAGCCTAAGTCTTGGTGGGAGTTATCCATACATATACTGGTGGTGAAAATACCAATGCTAGGTTTTATAGTTCAGGTCCATGCAAGCTGTTCCGAACACCACCTTTATCCACCAAAAAGAAAGAAAGAAACTACCACTAATATTACTAAGAGCCCGTTTGGATTGACTTATTTTAAGTGACTTTTAAGCCAAAATAGTTTTTAAGCCATAAGTTAGGAATTCTAGCTTTTGACTTTTGACTTGTTTTTGGCATTTTAGCTTAAAAACAAGTGCTCAAAAGCACTTTTTTACTTTATCCAAACATTATAAAATGGCTTAAAAACAATTTTGGCTTAAAAGCACTTAAAATAACCTGATCCAAACAGGCTCTAAAACTAGTTCGACTCAACTGCATTTCGTGTTTTACTAGTTTAGGCAGCTACAAAAATCAAGTAATATCCATTTCACTCCATTTGGGATATCAATAAGTTCCTTAATAAAGGTGAGCTAAATTAATATCCAGTGAGAACTCATCACCAAAAGATTACACAATAAATCTGTCAACACAATTGCATACAAACAGAAGACAAACAAAAAAACAAATAAATAGCACGTTTACTCCCTCAGTTACTGCCAAATTGTGATGTTAGTCCTTGTGATATAAGTTAAGCAAATCTATCCTTCCATAAACTGAAAGGTGCAAAATTCAGTCCAATGTGAAAGTACAGGTTCTAATTATTCAAAGGTTAATTGTTTGGTGAAGTATCACGACGATTAAATTTAAAATTTTACCAACAGATGAGGACCAAAGTTGCAATTATCTAACAAAAAGTAAAAAAGAAGGAAGAGAAGAATTACTTGACGAGGGTGAGACCAGTATTACCACAGTGAAGGCAATTAAAAGGAGCAGGCGTATCTCTGTATATAGTTTGCTGAATTGGAATACCTTTGGGATCTCCATATATGACGTTTGATGGAATCATACCTGCTTGATAAGGGTTTTCAGCCACGTAATATTGTTGGTGGTGGATTTGCTGAGGCATCGGAGCCTGGTTATAAGCCGGGTTGTAGGGGATTCCTACCGCTGGTTCCTCGTACTTCGACATCTCCGATGATCGATGATCTGATTATTATGCGAAGGACGATTTAGAATTTAGACTCTGTTTGGTAATTTGGTTTATCTCGGGTACTACGCGTTTGTAGAATTGTATTCTTATAGGGCCGACTTTGGCTTTCTAGAAAAAAGTTGACTTTGAATTGTAGGGCATTTATCGTTGACCATATCTACGTGGTTTTTAATATTGGTTGATTCGGGGTCTCTGACTTTTTGACATTACTATTTTCCAATGAAGGAACCTAGGCGGGAAAAACTTATTCACGCTCTGATAGTTTACATCAAGCTAATTAATGTAATACATATTCCATGTATATATACTTTGGGGAATTTTTAATTTATTTGTTAATTTTTAAGATTAATTATCTAGTTAATCGTACTTTCTCCCTTTCAATTAGTACTTTTTTTACCCTTTCACTTAGTACTTTTTTTTTTAAATTTCGGTCCTCTTTGATTCCTTTTTGATCCCTCTTTCTTGGAGCAACTGGTCATTTGGTGACTCGAACTCACGACCCTAAGATTGTAGGTAGGGGTGCTGACTATCTGGCCCTTTCAATTAGTACTTCGTTTGGGTGTTTTTCTGTTTTTTTTTTCTTTTTTTACTTTCCATTATTGTCTTGTCCCAAACTCCCAAATTAAGATAATTTGTATGATTATTTCAAAATTTCAAAGCATTTTAAACAAGTCATTTAAAAAAAATGAATAGAAAATATTTTGGAAAAATACATACCAATAGCTAAGTAATACAGACATATACAGGGGCGGATCTACGTTAACCGTGCCGGGTGCTGAAGCACCCATTAACCCCGAGACAGACTCTGTATAATTATACAAAAAATACAGGAAAAACCGATATAATTAATTAACAAGCACCCATTAACCAAAAAGGTCTCTGGGTGCTTTGATTATGAGATGAGTTTAGAGTTCAAAGTATGAATCGGCCAGGGATCGATTCTTGCTTGAAGCAAATTTTTTATAATATAGCCAGAAATTAAAAAAAAGCGTTGGCTGCTCTCCCTTTCCAACTAGTTCTGTTACCTTTTTTATTCTTTTCCTTGTTGACTTTTTGAGGACCTTTCGTCCTTTCCTTTTGATTTATTTTTTTATTTTTCCTATTCGTAATAAAAGTATTTTTTATTCAAGCTAGAGGAAACAGGAATTGGGGATTTCTCATACTTATTGCTTATGCTTTGTAAAAATTAAAATATATTCAATGAATTTTTCGTATTACTTTGCTGAAAAGAGTCAGTGACTACAATATTTTTGTGATAGAAAATTATTTTTGGTACTTGTCATAAAGTAAATTTACTTGTTTATGTTATTTACTTGACACCGAAACTAAAATTTTGGGACAAATACAGATTATATTAGCAACACTAGTCACTGGGTTATGCAATTGATGAATTGGTGCTCATACACTCATTGCTAGCTTCGAAAATTTGTAAGTTTTCTTAGCTTTTTAAAGACCAAATTTTATGTTGTATATTGTTTTAATTTTTCAGTGGACAGAAGAATGGACTTAAATATGTTGTTATTGTCTTGTTGTTTGTGTTGTTTATAGAGAGACATGGTCACATGGGTTTCACAATAGGAATTAATTGGATTGTATGAATTAATTTTATGGTAAGATTGATTATTGCTAAAGTGGTGGTTAAGTCAGATTTGCATCAAACTTGGCCACTTATTTATTTGCTTATCAAGTTGACTCTCATTCTTCCTGTTGCTACTGCTTCTGTGGAACGAGCTTTCTCATCCATGAACTACATAAAAAATGAGCTTCGTAACAGCATTGGTAATGAATTTTTAAATGGTTGTTAGTTTGCTATGTAGAGCGTAAGATATTTGCAACCGTAAACAATGATGCTATTATTGATCGTTTTCAACATATGAAAAGTCGTCGAGCACAGTTGTGACTTGTGACTAGATATCTTTTTTTCTATAATGTAACATTATTAGTAGTTGATTGTGGCTAGTGAATAGAAGTCTTTTTTTGCTAATGATAATATTAATCGTATTTTTTCTAATAAAGTTTTTACTATCGTAGTTAAATAGTAGTGAATTTATACTATGTGATGGGTAACAACTTTTCACTTAAGAGAGTGAGCACCCACGACCTTAAAATCCTGGATCCGTCACTGGACATATATTGTTGCTAGTCTTTAGATTATTACGAGTCAAAGTTTGCTAAGAGACAATTAATCATAATTCGAACTATAATGCATGTCACAAGGTTAGCAACTAGTTTGTTGCATTCCCAATCTCAATTGAGATTGCTCATGTACATATTAACTATGTGAAAGAAAAAAGAACAAAAGACTTGTATTCAATTAATTTATTACATTAAGACGAAATAAAATGAATCAAGAATTTGGTAACAGAAATGCTATCTAGAAGGTGAGCATAATTAAGTCTGTAGTCACAGCCCGTGACGATGTTTGGAAAACTTAGTGATATTTCTAGATGATGTACTGCCTTTTTTTTGTTCTACGATTTACTTCCTTCTAATAATTTCCTAGTTTGTGAGTGAAAAATGTTCACTTTATTCACACACACACACACATATATATATATATATATATATATATATATATATATATATATATATATATATATATATATATATATATATATATATAATATATATATATCCCATTGGCGTTCATAAGTAGAAATCCAACATCTAGTTTGACTAGACTGAAGATAGGCACACCCTCTGAAAGTGTCAACTTTAGCCCATTTGTATTTTTCTGAATCAATCACTAACTATAGAGGCCCACCCGATTTTACTGATTTCTCTAGACCAGCCTGAAGGATCAAAGATCAGTCCCGTGATAGATCAGACCGGGGCACGAGGACAAGGTACCGAGTTCAAGATTCGAAGTGCCTGTCAGGATCGAGACCGGTAGCGATTGAGACCAAATTAGATAGACATCGAGCAAGATCGAAGGTAGCATAATAACAGAAAGGCGAGGTATCCGTGACTGGTCGAAGATCATGGCAAAAATCTCGGAATGGATCAAATCAAGGACGATTAATTAGCTAATCATGGGATCTCTTTCTATAATTAGAATTATACCATAATTAGGATTCCTCTACTACATAAAGAGGAGTTCCAATCATTTGTAAAACACTTACATTCTAAGATATCAAAGCAATATAACATTTTTTCTTTAGCTCATATTCTTTTTCATCAGCTTGCTTTTTTCTTGACTGTTTTGGTTCCGACCAGCTCGAGGGCTGAATTACGTTTCAACACTGGTTTGCTTTATCTTATTGTCAATTTCTATTATTAATCTTCATATTCATCAATTGGTATTAGGTGAAATCATGTAACCTTAAAACCATATTATAAGTTTAATTGTTATCCAATTTTAAGGGTAAACAGATTGGCACCCACCGTGGGGCTAAGAATAATAGTGATTGCCTGGTATTAATTCTCATAACACACACTGCTTTACGCTTGTTCTCGTAAGTGTCTTTGATTTCAGGAATCAACATGTCAAACTCTCAAGTAGCACCCACTCACACAGACAACGGCGTTGGTCTTCACGTTGAGAACGAAAACATAGTCGCCCCGGGAAACGGAGTACCTCCAGTCAACCCCGATGGACAGCCGGCGGTAGACCCAGTCGATGTCAGCTCCCATATTGCCATTAATGGGAATTTGGGCGTCGACCCTGAAAATAACATCCATAGAGATGCTCGAGCAGTCGATCAGAATGCAGATCGTTTCTTATTTTGTGCCGAAGCAATTTATAAAGCACAGGCTGAAACAGGTGAAATCAAAGGCAGAGCGGTGAAGAAGGCAGAATTAGCCTTCGAATGATATTCGAGATGATGCAGACTCAACAAGCTGCGATAGCGCAACTCCAAAATCAAAATCGAGCACCAAGCAGAATTGAGCTCAAAACATCACAAGAAGTTGTTCATAGAGCCGAACCTGTACCGGAGAAATCGAACGCCAATAAATCAGGGACTGACCCCGCCATTATCAAGATGCTCGAGGAGCTCACAAAATGGATTGAATCAGGAGAAAAAATATCAAGGCAAATGATAAAAAGGTAGAAATATACAACTCCCGGGTTGACCAAATACCGGGGGCACCACCGATTCTAAAGGGTTTGGATTCGAAGAAGTTCGTGCAGAAGCCTTTCCCTCCAAGCGCGACTCCGAAGCCCATCCAGAAAAAATTTCGCATGCCGGAAATTCCCAAATATTGGGACCACTGACCCTAATGAGCATGTTACTTCTTATACATGCGCAATAAAGGGGAATGACTTAGAAGACGATGATATTGAATCCTTTTTATTGAAAAAGTTTGGAGAGACTTTACCGAAATGTGCAATGATATGGTACCACAATTTGCGCCCAATTCCATCGATTCCTTCGCCATGCTTGCAGATTAGTTCGTGAAGGCACACGCCGGAGCAATAAAGGTTGCGACTAGGAAGTCAGACCTCTTCTAAGTGAGACAAAAGGACAACGAAATGCTAAGGGAATTTGTATCTCGATTCCAAATGGAACGCATAGACCTACCCCCGGTCACAGATGATTGGGTTGTTCTAGCTTTTACTCAAGATTTGAATGAACGAAGTTCGATAGCGTCACGACAACTAAAGCAGAATTTAATTGAATATCCAGTTGTAACCTGGGCCGATGTACATAATCAATACCAGTCGAAGATCAGGGTCAAGGATGATCAATTGGGAATCCCTTCCGGTTCCGTTTACCCAAATAGGCCCGTCGGTAGAATTCAAAGGGACATCGACGGCGAACCCCAATCGAACAGAGATCGGTACCAACCATATAGCGAAGATCATAGAAACATCGGCCCAAGACATAATCCCGTTTGAAATGAATGAAGAAATGATCGAGGACAGAGCTCTTGAGGGCTCATGAGTAAAAATGGATGTCGAACCAACGGAAGCACCGCGACTATGTACAACTTCTGCTTCGATGTATCGGGTATTATATCAGCCATTAGACGGATCAAGGATACTAGTTGGCCCAGGCCCCTACAGACCGACCAAGCTCAAAGGAGCCCTAATCAAATATGCAAATACCATGGTGCCCATGGTCACAAAA